GTTTAGTTGTTTCAGAAGTTCTACAAATTTCTTGAATTGTCCCTTGTTCTTGGATTTTGCAAGTCTTTGGGGGTATGGAATTGGTGGTTTGTATGGTGGTGGAGGCACATAAGGTTTTTCTGAAGCCTCTTTGTTCTCATTCGCGTCTTCCTCTACATTTTCAGATTGATCTTTCGACTTCTCCATTTCTTTTTCGGGCTTTTGATACATGGTCGGGTTTTGGAGTCTAGGATCTACCGGTCCATCAAGGGTTGTCCCACTTCGTAATGTAATAGCATTTGCATGTCCTTTAGGATTGGGCTATGGCTGTCCAGGAAATGTACCAGCGGGTGTGGCAGAACTAGCTTGGTGTTGTGCTACTTGGGAGATTTGGGTTTCTAACATTTTATTGTGAGTTGCTAGGGCATCTACCTTGTTTGCTAATAGCTTTAACTGTTCACCGGTGTGAACGTTTTGATTGAGGAATTCTTTATTTTGTTGGGCTTGATTAGCGATAAAATTTTCCATTAGGATTTCAAGGTTAGATTTCTTAGGAATGTTAGGAACATTACCAGCGGGTTTTTGATAACCTGGAGGTACAGCAGGTGCTTGCCCAGGTGCATATAAAGCGTTATTGCTTTTGTACGAGAAGTTAGGATGGTTCTTCCAACCAAGATTATAGGTATTGGCATAAGGATTTCCTTGAGCGTAATTTACCTGATCAGCTGATATTCCTGCTAAGATTTGACATTTGGTTCCAACATGACCAGGAACTCCACAAACTTCGCATCTTGGGGTAATTGCAGCCACGGTAGCTGCAGGAGGCAAGGTCAAACTTTCTATCTTTTGGGTAAGAGCATCTACCTTAGCATTAACTTTATCTAGGCGACTAACCTCGTACATCCCACCTTTGGCTTGAGTTTTCTCCACAGATGTTCTTTCTCCTCCCCACTGATAGTGGTTTTGAGCCATGTTTTCAATGAGTTGGTTAGCTTCGTCATAAGGCTTGTCCATCAGTGTACCACCTGCGGCGGCATCTATAGATAGTCTTGTATTATACAAGAGTCCATTATAAAATGTGTGGATTATCAGCCATTTTTCTAATCCGTGATGTGGGCACATTCGCATCATATCTTTGTAGCGCTCCCATGCATCGAATAGCGATTTAGTATCCTTCTGCCTAAATCTGTTGATTTGGGCTCTTAGTGCAGCGGTCTTGCTTGGGGGAAAGTATCGTGCCAAGAATACAATCTTCAGTCCTTCCCACGTAGTGACGGAATTTGATGGCAAGGATTGCAACCAAGCCCAAGCTCTATCTCTTAGTGAGAAAGGGAAAAGACGTAATCTTATCGCATCTTTACTAACACCGTTCGCTATAACTGTGTCGGCAAATTGAACGAATTTTGTAAGATGTTCATTCGGATCCTCAGAAGGATCTCCAGAGAATTGGCGTTGTTGGAGAACTGATATCAATGACGGTTTCAACTTGAAATCGTTTCGGTTTATTGCTGGAGAAACAATGCTGTTATGGGGTTCTTGTTGTGATGGAGCTGCGTACTCCTTCAGTGGACGGGTCCTTTGTTCTTCGGCCATGTCTAATTCTGGATTGGTTTTGGTTTCAGAGGAAGAATTAGAATCAGTTTCAGAATCAATCTTGATTTCGGGTTTGGGTAAAGGAATAGCGTGATTTAAACAGTAATCCCTGACTGCACGTGTTACGGAAAGAATGCGTTCAGGTTCGTCCGTCGATTTGTCAAGTGGTTCGCCTTGTGAGCGAGTCCTTGGCATACAAATCGACAAAGGGTGTCTGTTGCCTAGTCTAAACGCGCAACAGAAGAATCATAATTAATTGACTACCAGTCCCCGGCAACGGCGCCAAAAACTTGATCGGGACTTTATAAGTCTATCGGGATACTAACTGCAAGTATACAGTTCAGTCGTTCTAGTTTTAAAAGATTATCGAACCCACAGAGACTGAGGATCAATCGCATACGATCTAATGCTACAGTTTGTCTAACTAAGCGATGAATATTCGATTTTTGGGGGAAACAGTTTAATTAAAAATAATAGTACTAATTATACCGGTATGTGATAATCGGACTTAGGGAATTCGGTGAATCGCTTGACCTATAAAGTATTTCGGTAAAAGCTAATTGTTTAAAAACCTGAGACATACACTCTCGTGTTTATGAAATAAGTCATGCTACTAAACCTAGTGGATGCACTTTAAATTTAATAACACTTTTTGAAAACAATTTGAATCTAATTAATTTATTAAAACACTCTCGTGTATTTAAAAATCAATGTTTCGTTACCACTATCTGGGTTGAACCCCAGCTCTCGCATGCAGGTTCTTGCCTTAATTAATTTCCCACTCTCGTGGCGAAATCGTGTTAATTAACCTCTCACTCTCGTGACAAGGATAGTTAAATTAATCTTGGAAATTGGAAACCAGAAATTGTTTTATAAATATTTTTGGCCAAGGTATCACTGAATTCTTTTAGTTCTTACGGTCACATACCGGTATTAATAATTTAGCCAGACATAATTAACTTAACAGCAATACAGTTCAAAATATAATTCATAGTAATAATTGGCATAATATAAAAACTGAATGAATAATAATTACAATATAAAACCTGGAATCAAAGTTGCTATGGTAATCTTGAAGTATTACAATAATCCAATCTTCGAGCTTGATTTGCAGTGAATAATTCGTGTTAATTCTTGAAAGAAGAATTAACACTTAAAACTAAAAACTAAGAATTTGAATGAAAATTACAGGAACGTGAAAACAATATTCCAAAACAAGCAAATGGAAAATAATTGCAAAAGAAAATAATATTTGTTCTGAGAAAAATTCTTCGACCCTTGAACTATGCACTGGTACACATATATATAGCATAGGAAAATCAACAGTTAAGAATTCTTGATGAAGTCTTCAACGGAGAAAATATAGGAGCACTAATTGTGGTGGCAAGAAAATAGGGGACGCAGAAAAAGGGAGAACGAGTCTGCCCTTAATGCCCACGTCTCAATCCATGTATAACGTCCACCTTCACGCGCGTGACGGTCGTCACAGGTGGGTGACGGTCGTAACGCGCTGAAGTAGTGCATTACGCTCGTCAGTGGTGTGTGACGAGCGTTTCTTCATGTTGGGGGGGTGTTACGCCTGTCACAAGGATGTGACGACCGTCACTGTTTCAAAAATCCAAACTTTGTATTTTTTTATTCTTTTTCTCTTTGTTTATTGTCTAGCCTTCTTCATGTTGTCCTTTTTCCATCGGTTTGAGTCGACATATGTTATACCTGTAAAAAGACAAATAATCTCGGAATAATCGGGGGTTAGACGACTTAGTGAAATAAAAAATTAGTAAAAAGCATGGTAATTATATGATATGTTTTCTCGTTATCAGTTAGTATAGCATATTTATACTAAATATTGAAAATGCTAAAAGACCCTATTAAAGATAAACATTGAGAATTGTGGATATTAACTAAATTATATTTCCAATATAAATAAATTTTAATAAAGTTATATTAAAAAATATTTGAATAGAGAAAACTTGGAGTTGAGCAGTATATAAAACTCAAAGAAATTCTTTAAAACTGACAATTATTTAAAAGAGCAAATTTGCTTCAGTTATTAAAAGACATTCACACATTTGGATATTGATAATTGCTTTATGAAGATATGATAGTTCAATAAATTACATAATAATATCAAACTTATATATAAATTACATAATTTAATTTTTATTTTTAAAATTAAAATATCAAACTTTTATTATATATATATATATATATATATATATATATATATATATATATATATATATATATATATATATATATATATATATATATATATATATATATATTAAACTTAAATGTTAACAGTTTTGAGATTAATTACTTGATCAGTTGATAAAGTTTTATACTATCAATACAGCATCATCATCCATTTACATTAGTTTATAAGTGATTAAAATAAATATCAAATTTTTCTCAATATCCAATGTTTATGATTAATTATTTATGTAAAATATGTGAATACACCTTTTTATTAGAGATGTTTTGGATGATGTCAAAAATAAGATATTTTAGCATTGATATATATATTGGACAATATTCTCTGAGTCTTAATGTGCATCTTAGTATTAGGAAACTTAGGAACCGTTTAGAAAAGATTTAATGCATTAAAAACATGTTTCAATGTGAAAACACGTCTATATATCGACACATACATGCTATGAATCGACACATACATGCTATGAATTGACACATGTGAATGCGTTTTAAAGTTTGTAGCCTCTGTTTGAATGAGTCGATTCATAGGGCTCTTTAGGTCGACACATATCAACAATTTTCCTGCTATAAGTCGACTCATGACTTATGTGTCGACACATGCATCGAAGGTGTCGAGTCATGACTTACATGTGTCAAAACACGCACACACACACACACGAATATATATATATATATATATATATATATATATATATATATATATATATATATATATATATATATATATATATATATATATATATATATATATATATATATATATATATATATATATATATATATATATATATATATATATATATACATCATAAATACATCATTTGAAACTTGATGAAACCATAAACATACAAAGTAAACTCTCTTCATCTTCAACCTCTCTTTCTATGCATATTATAACACCCTTTAATTCCCCACGCAAATATATTGCATAATTAGAGTAAGTTAGCATGCATATCAAGAGGGCATCACATATATCTCTAAAATAAAACAACTCATACAATGGTCATACTCAAATAACATGTATTTAAATTCATGCTTGTATACATTTAATAATTGTGCATGTCACAACAGAATACTTGCATCTCTACATGATACCAACACATGAATCTTGAAACAACATCATATACTAAATCATTAGGAACTAAGGCCATCGATCTCAATATCTCCACATACAATGCCAAATACGAAATGATAATATTTGTATCATGTTCCTAATACATCATAATATAAAAAAATAACATAAAGTATGTAAAATATCTCATACAAATCAAATATGAATCAAGCGATCCCCGTGCTACATGATCAGAGCATGACACACTACCTAGTAAGCTACTATTCCCTCCGACTAGTCCTTGCGAGAACCACCAATATCTTGAGTACCTGAGTGATGTCGTATAAAATATCATTCCAACGGAAGGGTGAAAATTTATATAATTATCAAAATCATAAGATAATACATAATTAATAGCATACATACATACCATAATTATTCTCACATTTCGAGAGTTTCATCAACAAGTTACCACTCAAGTAGCCATACTTTTGACAAGTAAACATCCATAATTCCATAATTCAAATGATAGTTAATCAAAATACTATAAATATAACATTCACATCAATATCACATATTGTACACCAATTCCAATCATTTCACTTTGACATATGTGACTCGAATGCAACTCAATACTATACATGATGCATGAGGTACCAACTTAATATTTGATTCCCTTGGAATCCGATATCCTCTCTCAGTCCATAAGCCTCCTCTCTGAGCTTCAATCCCCCTCTCTGAGCTTGGGAGTCACTAGTCTGCTCTCTGAACTAGAGAACATATCTCTTAACACAACAAATAATACATGTGCAATTATAACAACCATATGCAATTAAGATCATTCTATAATAACATTCATGCATATCTTCAATAATTCATCACACTTGAATTACCACATAATTGCACATCCACACATACTTTCAAATTTATAGCATTCTTACTACAAACATTACCACCACATTTAGCAAGTAATACACAAAGTATAACACAATCCAACCTCAATTCACAAAACACACATTATCAATTAAATATAGAGTAATTAATCCATCATCAATAATTAAACTCAATATTTAAATAATAACTACATGATTATCTGTAATTAAATTGAGGCATACTTACTATATTTAATTATGCTACATAAACCTTACAAATAACACAAACATTACAATGTTTCTTTCATTTTTCGCTACAGTGCCAAGCATCTAAGGCACTTATATTTTTTTTACTACTATGAAAAGTGTAATAGCACTTACATATAATATCTCTTATATACAGTACAGTAGGTGAAGAATTGTAATATATATTCATATTTTGTTTTATATACACGTCTATATGTATTATGGTGTAAACACGTGGGTTATGAAATACAAGACATTTAGCTGAACTATCTTACAAAGAGGATAACATGAAATTTTCTCTACAGTATCATAGACTACCACATTTTCATTTATTCTGAGACCAAATAATGTCTTAGAATCCTATGCTAATATTTTCCCCTTCAATGAAAATCTCTTTTTTACATATGCGATAGTGTAGCCATTTAATAACAAATCAAGTAGTAGCTTAACAAGTCTAATATGCTCACAATTAATTTCATTCATTTACAACTAAATGCATCTTATCAATCTAATTAATTAATTCCAAACAAAATTAACCATCACATATTCAAGAATTATCACCAAAACCTAACACTTACAAAATCATGGAAATTTTAGGGGTTTAATTCTAAACATGTTTCTACCCATTATACATTATCATACCGTCCCAATAATCATATAAAAATCCATCCTTACCTTGATTCTTTGAGCTCTTGAGCTTTTCCTCTTAGGTTTTCTCCTCTTCTTCTCCACTTCTCTCTTTGCCTCTTTTTCCTCTTTCTATCTTCTAACCTTATCTTATATTTTTGTCTTATTTTATCAAATCTCACAATTTCATAACAATTCTATTGGGCTTACTTAACCCACTCTCACACTTTCTATTCACACTCCCAATCTAGGCCCAATTACTAATTCTACTACTTCTATATTATTTCCACCAAATAAAATAAATCACATAATTCAATTAAGTCAATAAAATCAATTATGCATAAAATCACATAATTAATTAATAAATCATATAATTCACCAAAAACCACCAATTAATTAATTACTATATCATATAATAATTAATAAAATAAATATATAATCTAATAAATAAAAATCAGAATGTTACACATGCACACAAACAAATTACACATAATAATTATTTGTTTGAGTGTCATCTATATTTAGAGTTGATAACGTCCAATTTAGGCTTATGTTTCAGTAAATTGGGTTGAGAATCATTAGGGGTTTAATCCGAAAAAACATAGGGTTTACCCATCAAGATCAAGGTGTTGATTTGGGGGTTTTGTACAAGATTTTGCAATTCGGATTTAGTCAAGTGAAAGATTCGAAGAACGGTGAGTTTGGTCGAAGGAGTAATGGTAAATGGAAGATCGATTGAAAATCTTAGGTGACCACAATTTGCAATTCAGATTTAGTCGAGTGAAAACTTCAAAGAACGGTGGGTTCGGTTGAAGGAGTTACGGTAGCTGAAGGATCAAATTGGTATTGTTGGGTAACTTGGTCGAGCTCAAGATCAAGGGAAGAGAAAGATTTAGGATTAACATCAAACATAGGGTTTGTAGGATTGGATTGCTACTTTCTCTTGTAAAGAATTTTAAAAAATTAAGATTGATTATCTCAATTTCGAATGTGTTGTGAAAAGCGATACCTTTGAATTAAAGTATAAACTATTTCTCTATGATCAAGAAACACACAAGGGTAGAAAAGATGGTAAAAACACGAAGAACAACAAGGATTGGTTATAAATATCATTCTTTACTTTCTCTTTAAATCAGATTACAAGTACTCAAGAATAACAAATAACTCTCTCACCTTAAATTAGGATTTGCAGTATGCAATAATGAGAGACTAGTATGTTATTTATAATAAACCTAACATACTGAACTAATGGATTTTTTCACAAATACCCATCACAACCTAACTTAGGGTACAAGATAAATTAAACAATTGGACATAACAAACATGCCCAATTCGAAATACCAATAACCCTAGAATTTAGACACCCACGTGCTAGAACACACTTTGACTATAGTATGTAAGTCTTCGACACCAGCATGTGAGCATACTTCGACAACATGCATAAATTTTGTTGAACCAGAAGCTACTCTTTGACCCAATAGAGTTTGATCTAATATCTCAAAAATATCCACCTTGGAAAAAACTCTAACATCAAAGAACAAACTAAATTAACTGAGAACTACCCATCCCCAGGTTAAGATTGTGGGTTTTTTCAGTTCAAAAAGAAACTCTGACTTCTAGGCTCAAAGGGGTTGACAAGGGGTTAACTTCCTTATTTCTCCAGTGTTTAGGAATTGAAACAACGTTTGTACATCATCAGCAACATTTTATTTGAAAGCATACCAACAATAATTACGGGTATTTCATTTTCATCATTCTTCCTCCAATCTTTGCATAAACAAAAAGTTTGATAAAGAAAGTAAACATGAGGTATATATTTGAAAACAGTAAATGAAAATGATAAACATTGCAATGCTCATTTCATTAAAATTAACATGAAATTACAAATAAAATTTGAAAGCAAAAAATTTAACATAAACAAAGGAAAATGCAAACAGAAAGAAACATAACCTAGTGACTAATCAGCAACAAGGATGAGTTGTCCTGTCTGAAACATTGGCTTTAAGAGGTAGGTTGGCTCTGACCAAAGCTTCACTTGTCACGGCAAAGGATTGTTTTTAATATTTAGAGTAGAAGCTTCGAGTATTATCATATGTCCTCTGACCAACTCTTGCACTCTAGCCTTCAGTGCAAAACAACGTTCTAAATCATGGCCTACAACTCCCTGATGGAACTCACTACGGAGGTCAGACCTGAATCCGCTGGAAGAGGGTCTGGAAGAGTTAAAGACCTTGTTGTGATCAAACCTAGATGAACCAAGTGAGGATATAATTCAATGTAGGTCATTGGAATGGGGTTAAATTGAATCCTAGTCCTTGTATTGTGGTTCTGATTTTGATCAACAACCTGACGTTAAGGAACCTCAACTGGTTGAGCATTAGCCGCCAGAGTAATAACAACTACTTGTGGTTGATCATAATACTGAGTCCTACAATGAGGTATTCTTCTCTCATTAGAGACAACATTGGTTCACCCTCTTTCTTCTTTTGGAAGTCCCCAAAGGATTTCTTTGCAACATTAGTGGATTCTCCAGCAGCGAACACTTTTCCTTTCTTAATTCCTTCTTCTAATCTCTGGCCAATACTTGCCAAATTTGTGAAGGTGAAAGACACACTACCAATCATATTCTCCCAAAAGAAAGGGGTAAGAGTATCCATAAACAATCCAGTCATCTCTTTCTCTCCCAAAGGTGGCTCTACAAGAGAAGTTAACTCTCTCCAACATTGCAAGTATTCTTTGAAAGACTCATTTTCTTTCTGAGACATGTTTTACAATTGATGATGTGGTCAGAAGCCATGTCAAGGTTGTACTTGCACTACTTCATAAAAGCATAAGTTAGGTCTTGAAAGCATTGGATATGGTATTTCTCAAGTCCTATATACCACTTCAAAGAAGCTCCACTCAGGCTATCTTGGAAATAATGGATAATCAACTTGTCATTCTTTGTGTAAGTAGACATATTTCAATAGTACATCATCAAATGGATTCTTGGATAGGTATTCCCCTTGTATTTCTCAAACTCGGGATTCTTGAACTTGGCAAGCATCACAAGGTCAGAAACTAAACACATGTTCTCAACAGCAATACCAAAGACATCATTGCCTTCCATAGCTAGAAGTCTCTTCTCTAATGTATGGTATTATTATTTGACCTCTTCAAACTCACCAAAATCTCCTTGACTCACACTTCGGGGACTGGCATCATGGTATTCAAATAAAGGGGTTCCACGAGCAGCATGAGAAACAGGTTGATAAGATGAAGTATGAATGATTGGATGAGGTTCAGTGAAAACTGGAGCCTGGAAAGCTGGACGGGAAGACTGGCCACCATTGGAGTAGTTGCAACAGGTGGAGAGTAATTTTGAGGCAAATCGAATTCTGGCCAAGTAGAGGCTGTAAGCTGAATAGGTTGAGGGTCAACAACAGCAGTAACCTCTGAAATAACAGTCCTTTGAGGTGGCTTTCCTCTGGCAATCAAAACCTGCATCATCTCTCTAAGCTTGGCCATGCATGACTTTAACTCATCGATTTCCACTCTAAGTTCCATGTTGTGATGTTTTTGGTTTTCCATTCTTCTTTTGAAGTTAGCTCTAGTTCCGTACTTGTGTAGAGAAATTAGCTTGATGGTAGACGAACAACTGGAAGAAAGAAACTAATGGGAATACGATCCTAGACAACCTGGATGTATG